TGAACATTTGCTGGAAATCCCATTAAAACCCGTCTGCTCTTCCTGTCTTTAAAGGACACAACACCCAGCATGCAGAAAACGCATCCCCAAAAGGCAGACACCAGGAAGAGGTCCATCCAAACAGATACCAAAACTTTTTGCCTGCATTGAGTTCACCCTTACTGCAACTCCACGGTGCTGGCAAAGCAGCTGCTGTCATTACCCAGGGAGAAGAACTGTGCTAACTATCCCAAAATGTGGTTTGGGATAACCACAGCCCCAGTGGCACAGAACCCAGCTGACGAGTTACGGTGAACCAAGGCTGCTGCAGACACAGGGGAGCAGCACCCTTGTGCCTACAGCTGGCCAACAGACACAAGAGGTGCAGACCCTGAATTCCTCCTCCTTCGTTTGAGCAGAGAACCAACCAAGTCAATTCTGCCAGTGCTAGGGCATTTTATTCCCTCAGATGAAAAAAGAAGCTGAACTTGCCAGCACCACACAGCAGTAACTGCATTTTCTTCGCCAAAGCACTCTTCGCTCGCGCAATCTGTCATTAACAAGGAGGGTAACGGGTTTGTTTTTTTTCCAAGTTCCATAAATAGCCAAATTGAAAATATGAACAGACTTTTTAAAAAGTCAATATCCAGGAATTCGAGTGGTGTCATTTTTAAATGACACAACTCTAAAGCAAGCTTAGCCTCTGGATAATGGAAGACGGTGACACTGCCACCAGGCTGCACCTAAAAAAAAATAACGACCATAAATCCATGCTGAGCCACCATAAATGCTTTGTTGTGAAGCATCTCCTAAAGGTTACCTTCCTCCTTTTGCTCAAATATGCAGAAGCAATCTTCACAGCAAATGAAGAAGTCCACATAAATTCTAAACAGCATGCAAAAAAGCAGTTATTGCATTAAAAATAACATTTAATCGAAACTTCCACTTGTGCTTCAGTATGTTCATTCACGCTGCCTACCAACAGCTTCAGCAAGAACTCAACTGCATCTGTAAAAACCTGACCAGCCTTCCTACTTGTGGATATGAAACCTCATCCAGTTTCCAGAGTGTACTCTCCCTTTACAAACCACTACTAGTTACTACTACTAGAGTCTTAAAATTCAGTTCACAGGTCTTTCAATTCTCATGTTCAGCTTTAAAATCCCAGTTGCTCCACGGATTTAGCAGGCCAGAACAGATACGGTATACAGAAAGCATCTCCTCCAAGAATGCCTTTTGCTGTCTGTTCTGCTGGTAAAGATGTCTTCTACTAAAAAATTCTCTTAGAAAGAGAATTACAGGAGAGATTGTCAGCTAATAAAGAATACTTCAAATATCTATGCCAATTTTATGCGTTTATCATCTCTTTCTCCTTCCTCTTTTGCTCCACTGCTAGATGAAACGCACAAGCAGGTGAAAACAACTTGCATCAGATGAAAGAATGAAAGCAACTCCACAGGAAACGTCAAGGACAGAGAGACAGTTATTAGTTCTCTCATCTTTCATTCATAAAATCTGCTTTTGAGTAATGGGTACTCAAATTCAGTTTCTGAAATTAATTTACAATAGCCCTTAGAAATGGTATAAATGCATTCATTTCTAGTTTTTGTTTAAATTAGTGCTGAATTGGAAGATTTATATCCATCTGTACAAATTCTCACTGCAAATGCCTACAACATAATAAAGCATTGTCTATAAAGATGTAAAATTGATATATTTTGCAACACTAAGTATAAATACTCAAAAGAACTTGCTGCAATATAAATATGTTTTCAATACTTAAAGATTTCAGAAGCATCGAAATAAAAAAATCCTCTTCTATAGTTCCAGAGATGAAATACTGAGCTGAAAAGACCAATGTCTAAAATGGAGAGAATTCAGTAACAGAACTGAATACATTGAGGTAACCACTGCAAATTTAAGGGAGTAACTCTGTGAGAATCATATATTAAAATGAGTTCATACCATGGTTCAAACTCATCAAAACAAGATATAACATCCAAAAAACTGGTTGGCATTTTTGTGGATTCAAATATCAGAAGTCTACCAATATGTAAACATCTGTGGCATACCTGACAGGCTGAAGAAATATTAGTCAGAAGAATTTATTATTATAAACACAGAACCTGACTGCATTATTTGTATCCTCTTTATTAAAGTTTGTAAATTAATTTTCCATACGACATTCTGCCAAGGAGATCATTTTTAATATCTCTTCGAGTCACACCTGGTGATTAAAAAACCTGATCCATACCGGGGAAATAAAGGTTGCTGTTTTCAAAGCAGATACGCCCCACGCTGCCTTTATTTAAAAAGGCCATGCCCTGATAGCAGGCATCAAAAGAACTGCAAACAGCATCCTAAAAACGAGAGCTGAAGGCTTAAAGATACCGGGATGTCTTTAAGCACAACTATAGGCAGGTTTAACGAAAGCTGGGAGTTAATCTAAACGAGGTATTACATAGGTCAGATGTTTCTTCAAAGGCACACTACATGGAATTTTACAGCTTCTTCACTGGCCCAATTATGTCAGCGCCTGCCTGCTTGCCTCCCCTACCTTCTCCCTTGGCAGGTTCAGAACCACTAGGGATGTATTGATATAATTTTAAATGAGATATATGGGTGCACGAGGGAGAGGGAGCAACCAGGATTTTATATGCACGCACTTACAGGTATTTATTTATAGTATATTTATAGTGTATCTCGTCCTTTAATGTTTACATACGCTTACAACACACTACCCATCTACCTCCTGTAAAATAGGGAATAATCTGACAAACAGGCAAAAAAAAAAAACCTCTCAAGAGTACTCTAGTTAAAGACATTCAATAACCAGAGAAGTAAATGAGGAGCCAGAGGGTAACAGCACGTCCTGCGCTACCTGTAGGGAGTGACAAGCTCTGAGCTCCAGACCAGAAGAAATTCCACGGTCAAGACAGTTCAGTGCTTGCCCTGAGCCTCCCTGGAGCAGGAGCAGAAGCCATCTCACCAAGTTTCCAGTTTTACAGGCAGAAGCTCCACCAGAAGTTACCCGAGCAAACTGATCACCGCTGCCATGCAGAACACACAATTATTTTTGGTCTCCATTTAACAGAGTCACATCCTGCTCTGTGTAAAGCATCTGAATGATTTTCCAACTGCAGCTGAACAAAAGTATAGGCTACCTGGAGATGACAGATAGAACAAAGACACAACGTGCATGGGAGAAGAAAGGATATGATCTTTAGCTGGCCAAATAACAGAGGAAGGAGGCATTTCTGGCTATTGTTACCCTGAGGGATTTAAACATGCTGGGAAAAGCTACCAATCATGACAAACAGCTAACATATGCTCTTAAAATCAGGGTACAATCACGTGCTAGATGTGATTTTCCAAAACACCGAGTATCAATGAGCTTAAAATTCTCTAACTTAGCTAGGATCTCCTGAAAGCTTAGTTGTTTTTTTTTTTCCCCCAATTGGTTGGTAAAAAAAAAAAAAAAAAAAAAAAACAGGATCAGTGTCCGAGTTTAGAAAGATTGAAGGAAGGAAAAGCAAACAAAAAGTTTGAGAAAATCGCCTGCTAGTAGCTACAGTGGTGACACTGTGAGCTTGAACACCTCCATCTGTCTTCTACCACCTTCACGTATTTATCGACTAAAAAACATGATCAAAATGAACCAGTGTTGGAACTTGTCTTCCAGCACTCCTCGAAGACAAGCTGCTACTCATTATAGCTCCCTGGCATCTTAGAAAGATGTGATGAAAGCCACGAAGACAGTCAACACCTCATGATCAACATAATCAGGGACTGCTGATAGAGTTAGTATTTTCAATATTAAGCAGCCAGCCTCTCCCAGCAACCTTTTTTTTTTTTTTTTTTAAATAGAGTTTGGCCACTGATATCTCTCTTATTTCCTGCCTCCCATCCCCACCTTGTAAATATTTGGTGTTGTGTCTTTCTCTCCAAGTCTCAGCTGTTCTTTACCAGTGCTCTTTTCTGCCCTCTCCCCATTTTCAAGGTAGGTTATTTATTTTGAAGTTATCTACTTCTCCCACTAGCGTCATTTCTTCTTAGCCAAGAAGTTCCTTGGGAAACCACCACAGTCTTCCGGTCCATTTCTAAATGCGTATCACCAGAGGTCCTCGATAATTAGGAATTTCCAGACATAATGAACATTAAACAATTGCACTGTAAAACTGCTGGGAAGATCGCTTTACCCTGAGCACGCAAGGGCCTTCTGCAACTGACCCAGCTTCTTTGCACACACCAAGAAGTGAGAACATTCACAAGCACACAGCATTACGACCAAGCAGCCTTCATTTCTTTGAAAAAAGTGGAGGTGGGAGACCGTGTGGCTTATTACTCTGCACAAAATAGGTGCACCAGACTCAAAGGCTCGTTGCCCCTCCACAGGCCTGAGCGGCTCCCACAAAGGATTACTGCTTTGAAGCAAAACCACCAAGACCAAAAGTGCCCCGAGTTCAATTTGAGGAGCCACAACAGCGTTGCTGAATCTCCCTTTTCCCACCAGACTCATTTGCCTAAAGCATCTCTTGGCTGTCAAAGAGAAGGCTGCTATATATACACACCACAGCCTCGCAACTGGTTCAACCTGAGTGAAGGCAACACTTGAAAAGAGAAGCTGAGGCAGGATGAAGTCTAGGCTTGCGGAGGAAAAGTCATCCGCCGAAGAATAAATATTAATTATTTCAGCATAATAAATAATCTAAACTACAATCACCACCAGCGTACCCACATTCCACCGTATTCTTTTGTCTTCCTCTATACAATGGGAACATACACACTGTCACAGACTGTTAAACACAATTTACCCACGCAGTAGTTTCGGAGCATAATCAATACAAGCCACCCCCTCACGAGAAAAACAAGCGTTTTCATCTCATACCTCCACGCGCTGGGACCTGAGAAACGCGATTTTCAGACAAAAACCCCGCGCCACTTCACCTCACAGCACAGCCAGGCACAGAGCTGTGCTCAAACCCTGGGCTGCACCTTTTGAAGAAAGTTCCAGGCCTTACCTCTCGTCCTCACCATCTACGAGGGGCGTCGTCAGCGGCAGCACCTTCAGCGGGAAGAGGGAAGCGGAGGGCGGCGCGCTGCTGCTGGTGCCGTCGGCGGGGGCTCCGACGCCGCTCTCGCCGCCGGCAGCTTGAGGTAAACCAACGAGGGAAGGTTCTGTGGGGCGCCTGCCGTCCTCCATTTGGCTCACGACCGACTGGGCCAGCGATTGTGCGGGGAACTGGGCAGAGCTCAGCGGTATCTGCTGCGGCACACTCTGCGCCACCGGCATCCCTATACTCGTCGGTAGCAAGGGAGGCTGGCTAACGCTCCCGTTCTGCACGGCCGGAGCCTGCGCCATGCTCTGGGGCTGTCCCAAACCTATAGAGGCAGAAGGAATGCCAGGAGGCACGGCCGAAGCAGCTTGACTCGGCGCAGGAACAGTACTAGCGGAAGGTATAGGGCTAACTGCAGGCAGCTGCTGGCCGCTCATTCCTTGCACCACCGACTCCACTGCTTGCGCCTGCGGCTGCACGGGTAGCAAAGTGTTTTGCTGAGCCATCACCATTTGCTGGGGAAGGCCCGAAGCGCCAGGCTGTAACCCCGGCTGCATTATCCCCGCCTGCACAGGCTGCACCACTTGCGAAGACGGAGGAGCAGCCGCCGACGGCATGCCAGGAGGAGGCATTTGGTTGGCAGCAGGCGCCGGCTGCACCACGGCAGCCACGCTTCCTTGCTGCCCGACGCTCAGCATCTGAGCCGCTGGAGCGTGCGCCACCGGCGGGGCCGGGGCAGCAGCGGGGTGAGCTTGGACCGCAGGCTGCATGCTCTGGGCCTGGGCGACGGGAACCGGTGGCCCCGCTCCTACCGCGGAGGAACTGGGCTGCATGGCAGGCGCTGGGGGCTGGAGGATCTGCTGGTGCTGGATGTACTCCGGCATGGCCCCTGGAACAGAGTTTTGGTTCACCGGCTTGACGTGAGCTGCGGCCATCGGCGGAGGAACCGTTTGTTGTTGCTGCTGCTGCTGTCCTCCTGCGTACTGCAGCTGCTGCTGCTGCACAACCGGCAGCGCCTGCACGGGCTGCGCCGGCTGCGGGTACGGCAGCTGCTGCTGGGCCATGCCCTGCATGGCAGGCTGCTGGTGGCCCAGCGCCGGGGTCACACCGAGGATGTTAACCGGGGCCGGCTGAACCCCGGGAACAGCGGCGAGACCGGGCTGCGCAGGAGGCTGGACCCCTGGCTTCTGCTGCGGGTAGTTTACCTCTTGAGAATGCAGCTGGACTTGTGCAAGCTGGGATTGAGAAACACTCTGTGGTATACTCGCTGCTGGAATTGCCGGAGGAGCAGCGCTGCTAAAATCCATCTGCTGCGGACCCACACCTTGAAACGCTTGCTGCTGTACCACAGTAGGTGCTCCCATTTCTCCACTTCCCACACTTTCTGTATAGTGACTCAGTGTGCTTACATTGCTGCTAACAGAACTCCCACTGGTGCTCTCCCTTTCAGAAGTCACTTCGAGCGGGTTTTGTTTTATCGTCTCTACTGCTTTGTTTACTGCTACTCCTTCTGCAACTGCAGCAGTGTTTTCTTTATCATAGAACTCAGTGCATGTCCATCGACCTTTTTTGAAAGGTTCAGAACTAGAATCTAATTTTACAACTCTAAACCTTGACGTGCCAGATGCAGGCTGCTGCTGGCTTGATCCCACTGCCATCCCTGCAGTTGGATTAGTAACATTGTTAATGACACTAGAGGAAGCACTCGTACCATTGCCAACACCACTCAAGATATTCACATTAACATTGCTGCTAGTTCCAGACAAAGCATTTACATTACCAGTACTTGTGATGTTGCTTAAATTTATAGTACCAAGCATGCCGCTTGCCACGCTAGAGCTACCACCGCCCATATTATTTAAGGTACTAGTTCCAGAAGCAGGACTTACACCTAGATTGCCAGGAGTACTCGTAGTGCGGATATTAGACGCGACAGATGCGGGGGAACCAGTGGATGATGCAGCAGAACCCGGTGCAGTTGCTATAACATTGTCAGAGCTTCCAGTTGTTGATAGTTTTCTAAACGACGGACTGGGTGGCGGTCCTCCAGAAATCGGGGCACTGCCCACCCCAGGATGCGCTGGATGATGGTGTCCATGGTGGTGGTGGTGAAGATGATGGTGGTGGTGAACATGATGGGGGTGAACGCTTCCGTTGATCACGACGCCCTGCTGCGGGTGATGAGGCAGAGAAGGGTGCTGCTGAGGAAGATGAGGCTGGTTTGGAGAAACAGCCCCAGGAGTCTCTGCCTCCTGGAAGTTATTTAAAGTCTCTTCAGAGGAGCTCCTCTCGGGTTCTCCCAAGTCAGTGGCCCTGGATAAAGAAACATCCAAGATTTCTGAAGAGGACAGGTCTTCAGTGTGGGACTCATCCAGGTCATCGTAGCTTTCGGTGTCTTCGGCTATGCTGTTATTAGAGCTCATGCTAGCCGATATTTGAGCAGGGGTCACGCTGGTAATCTGGAAGCCACTTTTCTTCTTCATCTGAGCTCCAGCCTGCGCGAGAGGCTGTGGCTGGAGCTGAGACTGCGAGAGGAGGTTCAGGCTTTGTGGAGGAGGGGGTGTCGGCTGTGGACCCGCCGCCGCCACCGCCGATGCTGCAGGAGATGGAGGCGGCGGCTGGACCAGCAAGGGCGGCTGATAATCCTCGGCGGAGAGGGCAGCGCTCCCGCCGCCGGTACCTGGTGCAGTGGGAGCCGTAACGCAGCTGCTGCCGCTGCTACTGCTGCTGCCCCTTCTAGGAAACATCGCCGGGTGCGCCATCTTCCTAGCACTAATGTCTGCGGCTGAGTCAGGCTGGTGCATTGTATCGGGCGGATTTTAAGAGCGCGGTCCCCCGGTACGGAGAGAGACAGACAGACAGACAGACACACGCACAGTTAGCTGGGCGGCAGGGCACAGACACCGCACAGACCCCCCTATAACCCCCCCTATAACCCCCCATACCCCCACCACCACCACCACCACCACCCGCAGCGCAGGGGCTGAGCCGCCTCAGCACCGCCGCTCTCCTCCCCCTCTCCTCCTGCACAGGGAGGGGGCGAGCACCAGCCCTGGATATGACACTCCCCAACCCCCCACACCCCTTTTACCCCCTCAGGACCCCCTCACACCCCCCCCAAATCCCATCCCACCGCCACCGCCGCCACCACCACCACCACCACCACCAACCTCCCCCGGCCCCTCCGGCGAGGGGAGGCGATGCCCACCTCAGCCCGGCCGAGCCCCTTCCCCTTCCCCTCATGGAAGCCGGCAACCGGCAGAACCGCCCCTCCGGCCCTGCCTGCGGCCAGGAGAGGAAGAGGAGGAGGAGGAGGAGGAGGAAGGCGCGGATACGTACGGGACCGGCGGCAGCGGCAGGCAGAGCCGGGCAGGGCCATCCCCGTCAGTGGCAGCCATGGAGCTGAATCATTTTGGGGAGCCGAGAGACGGCAGCGGCAGCAGCAGGAGGAGGAGGAGGAGGGAAGAAAAGCGGCAGCCCGGCGAAGAGAGCAGGGAGGGAGGGAGGGAGGCGGGCGGGCAGCCGCTCTCCCCTCCCTCCGTGTCTGGCTGCCTCCGGGGGAGGCTCCGCTCCGCTCCCTCTTCCTTCCCCCTCCGCCTCCTCCCCCTTTATAACACCCGCTCGCCCTCCGCACAGCCCCTCTCCCCTGCCTGCTCTCCCCCGGCCCCTCGCCGAGCCCGGCGGGGAGGAGGAGGAGGAGGAGGAGGAGGAGGAGGAGGCGCTGCGCGGGGCCGCAGGGGGTTGGGCAGCGCTGGCCCTGAGGGGAGGGCAGCCCGCAGACGGCGTAAGATGGCGGCGGCCGCGCAGGCGCGCCCGGCCCGGCAGACATAAAGCCCGGCTGGCCCGGGGACGGCGCAACTCGGCTGGGCTCGGCTCCGCTCGGCTCCCCCGGCGGAAATTGCCGAGCGCCGCCGAGCCCCTGAGCGCCGAGGAGGGGCGTAGCGGGGCTGGGGGGATGCGAAATGGCGGCCAGGTGCCGCGGTCCCGCAGCATGACTGTGCCTCACATGACCCGCCTCCCTGCCCCCTCTCCACCATCCGCGGGTTTATTCACGTTATTCATCACCTTCGTCTTCATTCTTCATCCCCTCCCTCGGTCCAGAATGTTCCTGTCGCCCTCCCTCCTCCTCCTCTTCCTCCTCCTCCTGCCTCGCCCGTCCCTTTGTGCCGCCCGGGGTCCCCTCACGCCCCGAAATGGCCGCCGCCCCCCTCAGGCACCCCCATGCCCCACCGGGTGGCAGGAGGCTGCCCAGGGCTGCCACCGCTCCCTGAGGTGGTGTTGGCGCATCGAGGAAACGTACCAAAGCACTCCTTCAAAAAATGGTCACCCTTCACAAGTACCTTTTTATCATTAAGTGAAATTGAGGTCAAGTCCACCGCAATCTCTCGCTTGCTGTTTCAGCACTGAAGACCTGGTGGCCCTCCTCACATGTAGCAAAACTCAATGCCGTGTCCAAATCTTGGCTTCTCCTCAACCTGGCATGGCTGCTGTCTGATCCCTGAAGGCACTAGGTGCTTGTGTGATGGCAGAGAGATCTTCCATAGCATCTACAAACCTGCTAGCATGCCCTGGTGAGCATCCCTTAGGTGGGGAGGTATCTCACTGCAACACAAGCCCAACAGATTCACACCAATTCAATTCACCAAATTCACAGCAATTTCATTGCCCCACCTCTCCTGTCATAAGGACCCTCTCCAGGAGCACTTTCAGAGCTTTCTAAATTGGCTGTCCTGCTTTCCTACAGAGGGGGAAAGGTTCACACCTTCTCGTCCATTTCTCCAGGTGGATGAAGTGTGCACCTGTGCCAGGAGGGGTGCTTGTGTGTCCCATTTTCTGGCGGCACATCCTCATCTCCAGATGTAGTCTTTCATGAGCTGCTGGAGATAGCTCAGTCACCTCTTTGAAACTATTATGGTGTGTGTGGAACAATAAAACTTTTTCAGGGCTTGACTGACTCGGACTAATTCTATAGCTTATTTATGAAAGTCACCACTTAGGACAATCAACAGGACACGTGGGGGAAGAAAAAAAAAAAAAAAGAGAGAATTTGGTGTTTACTGCAGTGAATATGTAAATATGTTGTGAAGAGTAGTAGAGCTTTAACAAGAGAATATGGGAGAGTCCAAGCTACTATATCACATAGCTGAGTCATTAGAGTTCTTGTGGGAGATGTAAATGTGAGTTCCTTGAGGCAGAGAGGAGATTTGAGTCTCCCATGTTCAGTGTGTGGTGTTTAATCACTGAGGTACTAAAAATGCTGTTTTTCTAGCTCCATTTTGTGAAAAGGGTGAGGTTTCAAGGTCACGCACAGTGGGAGTTTCTGCTGCCTGTGCCTGAATCTCAGCCTTCCATCTTGTCTCACCCTGTTAACTAGATTATCCATCTCGCAGTTAGTGTGAGGGACAGGGGTAGCTTTGAGAAAATCCTGATTTTTGCATCCTAATTGCTTTTATATCTGGAATGCAGACGTTCAGCTCAGGTCTCTAGGTACCTGAAATGTAGACTTGCAACCCTTGCTCCTTCCATGGCTCTACCCCACTGCCTGTATACAGACAATGCTGAGTATTGTGAAGCGATTGGCATGTAATTAAATAATGTTCTGCCTGTTACAAGAACTAGGCAAGATTATGTTTTAGAGCTGACAATCAGAACATATTGAATACCATGCTACCTGAACATGTTGTGAGCCCCATACCAGAAGGCATCTTCATGTGACCCTCACAGATTTCAGGAAAACGTCACAAAGATGCCCGTGATCTGTCTACATGGAAATTGATGCAATGCTGAGGCCTTATTGATGAGATACTCATATGCCGAATGCTAAATGTGTGTAAACATTTTTGGGATGAGAGCCTGAGGTTGCAAGCCAACTTCCATTATAAATTCCTGTTCTGTCTGCTTATAACTTTCCCAGAACAATTTCCTTGAGGAATTAAGCCTTCTATGATTAGTCCCAGCACAAAGATATTTTTTTGAATGTTTGAACAAAGGCCAACTACTTTTAAAGCACATGGTCTAGGAAGAGGGATGAATCTGTTTTTAACCTTAAAAATCTCTGTATAAGTAACTCAAAAAGAATTTTGTATGCACCTAATAGGCATCAATCAGCTTGAAAAAGAATTTAAAAGTAGTATGGTAATTGGTTAAATGTCTGGTTTAGCACACTCCAACTAAATAAATTACATCCATTTCAAGTAGTTGGTGAGATACCTGTCATCCTCTCGGGCTATACACTTCTTAGTACAGTATGTGAAACATCTTTAGATTAGCTCCACACAGTTCTTCCCCAAGGGAAACTGGAGAAAAAAAGGAAAAAATATGTAATTTAGATAAGTCATAACTTACTTGCATAATGTGGTCACTAGTCAGTTAACAATCCAAAGGATGGTCTAGGCTACACAAAGGACATCTGGAGTAGCCTGATTAAAATATATTTTAAATACTGTTAATAGATATTAATGTAATCTTAGATATTTTTTCCTTTGCTTACACCTTTTCACCAGCCATATGCTTACACATTTTTTTCTTTCTTTTTTTTTCAAGCCTCAGTCTCAGAATGGAATTCTCAAATTAAAGATTTTAATTCCTTTTCATATTTGTCAAGGTTGATGAAATTAAAATTAAACTGCTGAAATTGATGATTTGTTTGCTGTAAATGTTGTTACTTAGTTGTTGTTCAAAGTGGGAAAAGAACCTTCAACATATATCCAGTTTAAAACACACCAAATATTTCAAAATTGGGCAATGACAAAATTAACCATCTTCAAGTAGAGTGTGTTGGACGTTAAGGGAAATTGCTCCATAGTTATTCCAAACAAGTTCACCCCTTTTTTTTTTTAATGAACTGTATCAGTCTACTGGCTGGATACAGAGGTGCTCTGTCATTACTATCTGGATCCAGCACCTTATCCACTGTGGTCACCGCTCATGACTACAGGGCAGTCCTACAATGGCTTCATGAACTCTTGGGGTCTCGGTCAGAGACAGAAGGGTTGCCAGTATAGAGGAGTCCCCTTGGATTGCATCCCATACATGCATGCTTGCTGGACAGGCATGTACAGATGGGATTGATGGAGCCCTTGCTGCCAGGTAGGGAGAGCATGTGTCTGGAAGAACTCTCTTTCAACCTTAAAATCTTGTACTTCAGGTTCGTGCAAGAGAACAAGATCTTCACAGTGTAGATATTTAGAGATCTGCCTTCCAAATTTGTAGTACTTCTTCAGACAGGAAACAAACCCTATTGACATCACAGATTCTCCAGGGATTCCAGAAGAAGCAGTATTTTATTATTTTCTTTCTCTGGCTCCTTGACTATGAGACAGAGTTGTATACGTTCCTCCTACTATATGCAGTAGTTTGTATTTTTGTACGCAGTAATTATAAAGCCAACAAGCAGGAGTACTGTTGGTTTTTCACTCAAGACAAAGTCAGAATCAAGGGGGATCAATCTGACAGGTGTTTTAAATCCCGTGTGACTGCTCATAAATATTTTTTTGAAACTTTAATGAAAAGAAATGTTTATGATATGAAGCTGCCATTGTTACTTTAGACAGAAGGCTTTTCTGTGTTCATTAATATTGCTGACTGTAGTCTCTCCGTTGATTTGCAAAGGTGTATGCAATTATTTTCTGCCTTCTTAGGGGAGTATTCATAAGAAAACTCACCTTTCAGCTCTGAAAAAGCTGTAATTCTGCTTCTGTGTTTTCTTAGAAAGTTCAAGTCAAGTCTTGATCTTCCTTTCTTGTTTTGTTTTTAGTTGGCTGGTTAGTTGGTTGATTGGGTTTACTGACTGATTCCAAAACGCCTACTGAGACATTTTTCAGTCCTTATTTTAATTCTTATGAAATACTGTCAAACCTTCTGGAAAGGGAAATTTTCTCACAAGTTTCTATTAAATGCTCGCAGAAAATGATAATTTTAGCAATCTTTTTTTAAAAAAAAAAAAGATAGGTTTTTCTTTACATTAGTCAGTTCTACTTCAATGCCAATTTTCTCAAAATCATGTATTTCTAGATCCTCTGGAGAAGTTGTTTTAAAATATTCCTATACCTGCACTTGGGGAATGTGGCCAAGTAGGTAGTCTTTCTCTCTTTTTTCTTGGTAAGGATTGCATTCAAATTCAGAGTTTATGGAAGACTTGTAGAAACTTTTACCATCACTTTAAACTGTACAGACTATATTTATATAGACTGTGTGCATAGCAATGCAGTACAGAAGCCATGGTTAAAAGTAAACCCTCCACCATTCCTTGACAGATGCGTTATCAACCAAACCAACACCGTGGTTTTTATCAATATCATCTTCTTGTCCTTGTCCATTTTCACCTGGGTTTGTAGTCAATCGATGAAATTGCGTCTTATAGCAGAGCCAAGTTCTGGAAAGACTTTCTCAGGTACCTCAACCTCTGATGGTTATAGATGCAGTTCCATTGTAGTCTGAGATCATTTATTTAATTAAATGTTTCTAGAGTACAGGTCTTAGATTGTTAACTATTTGATCTTTGATTAGTCAGCCAAGTGGTATATATAATTAAGCTGAAGATCAAATAAAATGATGATCAAATCATTGAAAAATGGTCCAGTTGTTAAACAGACCCTCCTTTTTTTTACCTCTGGAAAATATGAGCAAAGTGGGAAGTCAAACAGT